GCATCTTTCCCAGAAGAGAAGGGAAAAAAACCATGCTCTGCATCTTTCCCAGAAGAGAAGAAAACAGAACAACCTTATTGTGACTTGACTTTTAACTTTTTAAAATGGGAATAGATATATGCAGTTGTCATTACCATTTATGTCAGCTTGGTAACAAATTATAGTACTAGTAAACTTTCACCCTGAAAGCAATAAAACAAAGCAGTCTATGTCCCTTTTCTCTGAACTTTACACATCCAATGCTGTCCATTGCAGGAATGTACAGGCTGAGGATGTGGGAAGGAAATATCTGTGAGGGAACACATGTTCCCAGAGCTGTCTTTCTTCAGTATCAGTGCAATAAGGACTAACCAAAAATGAAGGGGGAGACATAACTCTGAGTCACAACTAGTTCCTTTGAGACAAAGAACACGGAAAAAGAAGAGTCCTAATAGAGGGCAAAGGAAATTGTTTTTGCATGTATGTGCAAAAAACCTCCAATGCTGTATATTTTGCTCCATAATAAATTGAAAATAGGTTTATCAGAATTTCACAGTAGAGCCAGGGCCGCTGAATACTGTATGAATATCAATAGGTAAGGAAAAGGTACGCATGCTACTATGTTTGTCCCATTTTTCTAAAAAAAAATACTCTGTGTATTGCATTATGCAAAGTTACTAAATATTTACCATGTGCCCAAATATGAAGCAGATGCACGTTTTAGTTTCTGCCAATAAGAAAAGTACCCGAGAACGCTGTAGCTGTCCACATCATATTTATATATTACACATGGAAAGGGATCACAGGCTACTGCAAGATATTACAGGTAGTCCTGGATTTACAACCACAATGGAGCCAACAATTTCTGTTCCTAAACAAGGCAGCTGTTAAGTGACAGCTGTTTTGCCCCATTTTATGACTTTTCGTGTCACAGATGTTAAGTGAATCACTGCTATTGTTAAGTTAGTAACATAGTTGTTACGTAAATCTGGCTTCCCCATTAACCTTTCTTGTCGGAAGGTCACAAAGAAGGTGATCATGTGACCCCAGGAGACTGCAATCATCATGAGTCAGTTGCCTAGCGTCTGAATTTTGATCACATGACCGTGGGAGATGCTGCAACCGTTGTAAGTATGAAAAATGGTCATAAGTCACTTTTCAGTGCCATTATAACTTCAAATGGTCACTAAATGAACTGTTGTAAGCCAAGGACTACCTGTACAGGTCAATTAACTTCCAGGTAAAATGGTAGAAAACATTATGGTATTACAGAATCATAAATCAAGCCCAGAATTACCAAATCTGGACTGCAAAAATCTGGGTGACCACTAGTTAATTGTCAGCTAGACTTTCCTATATATCTTTCATTACCAACTAGTGGTTCTCAACCCAGCTCTAGTAGCTACCCTAATTAAGCATACATATGTAAGACAATTTCTGTTAAATAGGAGCTAACATGCAAATCCTATCTCATCAACCTTGTACACTTTTTAAAATTTGTTAATGAGCATACAAGCAGCATTATTCTAACAGATATTATATGCTTGAATTTTCCTGCCAAATCAAATGCTGCTATAAGTATGGAAAATGTATAGCTTAGATTGTGATCTTCTCCAGAAATTCTATCTTTTATAGCACATGAAGGATATGCATATAAAAAGTATACACGGCTCCAGAATTAAGGGTGTCAGTTTCAAATTTTCTATTAGATCCTTTCCCCATTCTACATCATTTTACAGCAAGACATGTAAATAAATCCAGGGTACACACTGCAGACAGGTAATTTGGTTTGTGTATGGATATTATTACTCAATTGTATGCTATGATGAAAAGCAAGCAAAACAGAACCCTTCCTTGTTTATCAAAAGTGCTTTGACATAACTAAGAATACAATAAACAACAACACAAGGTTTACCATAATCTTTGCCTGTGCTTTTGTGACAAGGAGGAATGTCCTAAAGAACGTTTATCTGCTATCTTTTCAAATCTCTTTGGTGTTTTATTTAAATCCTAAAGGGGAACAGGCCTCCAATACCCCAAAATGTGAGTCCTAATTGTCTCTAATAATAAGTTCCCTAAACTGCCACAATCTTTGCTCAAACAGCTGCTGGAAGACATGCCAACTTTTTGGTCAGTATCATTAAATAAATACAGTAGCCTAAACCTTTTGGAGAAATATCATGATCCTTTTGGCACTGCTCTCTAAAGGTGAGACCACCTCAGATCAATTATATATACAGTAGGTGTAGTTTTTAAATTCATCAGCTTTGGATAGATTTTAATTTATTTATGATCTATGTTTAAACCAGTACTATTACAATTTGTCTGTTTGAAGCCCTTAAAGATCAGGTTAGGGATACATTATGGAAAAAATCAATGTGGTCACTAAGAGTTGACAACAACTTGATGGCACACAATCAAATCAATCAATTACAACTTTCAGAAAGTCTTTAATAAATTCCACCATCAAAAGTTGCTGACAAAATTCTGTATTAAGAGAACAGGTGGAATCATTAGTTGGTAACTTGCTAAATTACAATACAGTTAAATGGACAATTTCACACTGAAGAGATATCTAAAGTGAATTTTGGAACTTAAAAAAAATATAAGCGATAATTTAGGGAAATATAATAAGATAACCAACTAAGCTTGCACTGTATTGATAATTTATTCAGGATGTAAAATGAAAAAGGGTTTGCAATGAATTCCACAATGGTCTCTCCTAGATCAATGAGTCTTAAAATGGCAAATATAATTCAATGCGCCATGTGATTGTGTTGGTGCAATAAACACAACATTCATGTGTACATTAATGGGGCCTAGGATATAGTGACTGACAGCAATAATCGTGGAATAATGGAGGATATCTCAACGAAAATTTCAATCCAAAGTAACTTCTGCAAAAGAAAGAAAGTGAATTCCACACAGAGAATTATAAGAAGATTGCATATCTGTGGTGCCTTTCTAAATCTATGATTGTAAAAATATATTGTGGAGCTGGAACACGTCCCTGCAAGGAAGAAATATTTCGAGATTTTTAACTGAGAACAAAAGTGATCTGGGGAAAGATGCCAGATGAATATAAAATTATTCACTGCATAATATAGACTTTTTTTCCTCTTTTTCATAATGTTAGTATTAAATGCTATTAAAACTAAATGCAGAGCTATTTAGGACTGATAAATGGAAACATGTTAAACAATGCAAAACTGTATTACAGTATTTGTTGGCATTAAATATGGTAAGGGTCACCAACTCAATTGGCTTTAAAACAAAACTAGACAAAGTGCATGGAAGACAGTTTTATAACCTGTAGAGTTAAAGCTTCAATAGCTGAATATTATGTCTGAATTACATGCAGCAAGCCTTAAATATCAGCTGCTGAGAAGAAACAATGAGAACTAACATCTAACAGGTCTAGCTCTTAAGCTTCCCAATCCTAGCCTAATATTTTCACCAATACGTGACACTGGCTTTCATGAACTAAATAAAACATCCCAAAATACTTGTGGTAAATATTTACACAGGGTAATATGCATTTTGTAAATACTTAACATGGCCTTAAGACAAAGATAAGAAAACTGTGGTTCTCCAAATGTTGCTAAATTATAACTGCAGCATCCCTCGCCACTGACTACCATTGTCAGGCTGCTGGGGGCAGCTGTCATCAGTCATCAATATCAGTTGAGCCAAAACTTCCCAATATTTACATTACAGTATTCTAGCATATAATCAGACAGATACATTCTGGTAGTTCATAAGCAGGTCCTGAAAGCACCAGGTATCCTTCAAGCCTCAAGCCTCAATAGTTATTTATTTACTTAATTTATATACTACCCATCTCACTATTCAAAGTGACTGTGGGTAGCTTACTTTGAACATGGAGTTCTCTCTTATATTCATTCTCTGAAAAATGTCTGTAATAATGTCTTTAAAACATCATAGATCAGGGGTGTCAAACTGCCGGTCCACGGGCCGGTTGCATCATGCAGAGGCTGTGTCCTCCCCAGCTCCGGCAATGCAAAAAAGGTCACAATACACCACGACACATGACGCGGTGAGTTTGACATCCGTATCATAGATAGTATCGGTGCAAGGAACTCATGCAACCACTTAAAAATTACCTAGTGCTTAATGACCCTCTTTTTTTTCAGTCCTGTGTTGTTTTCCATGACCAAAAATGAAATGAAAATATTTTTCCACACTAAGCACCATTCTATTGTGGTCCAATCTTTTCTCTAAACTGCTTGCTCCAGATGGAAGATGTTTCAATACTTTGATTGCTTTGGCTGCCCTCTTCTGTATGTTTTTTCAGTTCTGGGCTTATGATCAGGTAAATCTCTAGTATAACTTTAGGAGGTAACCACAGAGCTTTCCGAAATAACAAAGCACCTTGTGGCACCTCAAGGTCAGAGAAACACATTAATAAATATTGTAGACTATGATTCAAAAAATTCATACAACAATAAAGTTAACAGTATACTCTTAGGTTGTTGTTTTTTTAAATCAAAGGCCAACACAATTTTTCCTTTGGAAATTTTTCCCATAACCCATCCACAGGCTAGTTTCCTCAAACTTGGAGATCTGATTCTTTGATTCTAAAACAGTAGTACTAGGGCAGAAGCTTGCCTTGGAGGTTTAGTCTACCCTTTCCCAACTTAGGGTCTTCCATATTTATTCAGTTCTCTTCCAGTCTCCAAAGGAAGTTCATCACTTCTGGAGGATTTCCCAAAATTTGGGAAACAATCCTTAGTCCTATTTTCAGATTCATTACCAATGGTTGCCCTTAGTAAGTACTTTCCAGAAAGTGCCTGGATTCTCACTAAGCCATGGTTTGCCTAATTTATTTACTGAATAAACGACTGGATTGGGACATACAAACCACAGACCAAGATTTATAAATCACAACAACTTGTTCACTTAGGCAAAACCAATCAGTTCACACTATTTAGCCTGATGCACACACCCAGCCAACCCATCATAAAGGTCAAGCATCAGCCTCAGGACTCCACTCTGGTCAATTTGTCCTTCATTGCTTTAGTGAAAAGCAACCCCAGATCACAAGCCGGCTTTTCTGCCCTTTTTTCCCCCCCTCTCCCTTACCTGGATTTTCCTCTTCTCGCAGGCTGGCCCGGTCCCTTGCACGACGCTGTCCAGCACAGTGACCAAGTCGGCGTCCGGCGCCACGAAGCACGAGTTTCTGGCCACCCGGATAGCGTCCTCGATCTCCGCGAAGCGGAAGACGCAGAGCGCCGAGGGTTGTGGAGTTTGTCGACCGCCAGGCCCGGGACCCGGGGAGGCAGCTTTTTCAAACACCCCGAAGAGCAGCTCCTCCGGCTGGGGCGAAGGAGGACTCCCGGGATCCACCTGCAGGGCGGCGCGAGCGGGAAATACGGAGACCAGCCTGTTGAAGAGGTCCCCGGTGGCGACTCCCGGCGTAACCCCGCCGGCTCCGGGGTGGCTACATTGCAGCACCATTTGAATGTAAGACTCGGTCAACTTTTTGGTCTCGCCGCCGCCGCCGCCGCCGCCGCCGCTGCTATTGAGAGGGGTCGCCTCGGCCGGGTCCCCCAAGCAGATGCGAGCCAAGAGGCTGTGCGAGTGACTCTCCTTTTCTCGCGCATTCGCCTCGCTGTTGAGGGCCAAGTAAGCATAGGAGGCCGACGGGCGGCTAAGCGGGATGCCCTGAGGCAAAGGCGGGAAAGCGCCCTGTGCGCGCCCGGGCTTGGCAGCTTGGGCTCCCCGGGACGAATAGGGGCCCCCGGGTCCCGCCTGAGAACTCCGGCCTCCGGAGGCGCCCCCTTCCGGGCGAGAGAGCGTCGCGCCTTGACTTCCCCGGTGGAGGAAGGCGCGGACGAAGCTGAGCTTGTGCCGGTCCTTGGCGCCCTGCTTGATCTTGAAGATGTTGTCATCGGACGGGTTGATGTCGAAAGTGAAGAGCCGGGACAGGTCCCCGCGGGCGTTGAGAGCCCGAATGGCGATCTCGGGCGTGTTCTCGAAACGGTGGTCTTCCAGGCTGGCGTTGCGCGGGAAAAACGGGCTGCCCAAGCCCGTGTAGGTGGCGGCCACCAAGAGCCTCGTGTCTTGCCCGGACTGCTTGAGCACCAAGCCGACGGTGGAGGCGTTGGCGTGGTTGGCCGCCACGTTCAGCATGCTGGGGAAGACCGTGACCTGGTCGCCCCCTTCTCCCCCACCTGTCCGAGGTGGGAAAGGGACGGCCACCACCGAGATGTTGTCCATGCTCCGCAACTGGCAGAAGCCTTGGTAGACCGAACCGCAGACCACCAGGATGCCTTGCTCCGGGTCCGGCTGCAGCAGTTTATTGTAGTTGTCGGTCGGCTTCTTGGCGTGCTCGCAGGACGCCTGGGGCAGCTGGGGAGCGTGGCACAAGGGGTTGTCCTCTTTGGGGCCCATCGGCTCTTCCACTTCCAGAGTCAGGTTGGGGGCCGAGAGTTGATAGAGCCGGTTGACCGCCGCCAGGTAAATCCTGCCGCCCGACCCATCCAGGGCGAAGTTGTTAGTGGCGGTGGGCGAGACGAACTTGTGCTGCACCTTCAGCCCACGACCGAGCACCGGGAGCACCAGGGAAACCACCAAGAGGTGGAAAACACGGCCGTGATCCGGTGACAATACCTGATTAACGCCTCGCCGATCCGGCAGAGCCATCCTGCCTCCTGGGCTGTCGCTCTGCACAGAGCATGAGGTTCCTTGGCTGTGCAATTGGGGAAGGGGTGGGGGGTGGGTGGGGGTGGCAGCCGCAAAAGAGGAAAACCTGTTTCCTGCGGAGGATTTAACGCGCCTCAAAGCCTGAGAGACGCCAAGAGGGAAGTCCCGAGCCTTTGTTGCAAGCTATCCGCAGCCTTTTGCCTCCTTTCTCGGACCGGCGTCTCCAATGGGGTTAAAACTCAGCGTCTGAGGAAAAGCTGCGCCCTCCCCTAAGTCTGACAGCTTCTCTCTCCTTCCCTCCCTCCCCCTCCCTGTAACTGTGGACAAGCTGCTCGCTCCGACTTCTGAGAGGTTCTTTCTTTTTTTTTTTTTTTTGCAGTATTCGTTTTTCCTTTATTTATGGTTTGTCATGTGAATATGATTAAGTTTAAGCCACTCTCCCCCAAACTGGTAGGCAATCACTGCATCAATCCCAAAAACAAAGAAGCGGCTCTTGATAGCCGCTTCTTTGCTAACAAATAACTCTTGTGTTTGCCCTTTTTGATGTTCGGAAGCAAGAATGTAGGATCCATGGGCGGGAGGGGGGAGGGAGGGGGAAAGACAAGGAAATCAAAAACTTTTCTCACCCAGCCATAAAGCATCGTTGCAATCAGTTGCCAGAACTGAGTTAGCCAAACAACATTAATTTCAGACAAATCATCTTCAACCGATGATTTCTGATTCAGCTGCTGGGTCTCCCCTCTCCCACCCAATGAAAATAAGTAAACTCTCAATCCTCTTGAAGTACTTCCCACCTCATAAAAAGGATTTTACAAGGAAGGATAACAAAGAAGAGAAGGTCAGACTGTCTGGGGTTTGGGGGTCAGGAATAAATTAAGCAGACAAGTATGCGAAGCATGTAAGATGAGGGAGAGGTGAATTAATTCAGTCTCACTGTGCGACAATCATCAACACCATAGACATAGAGCAATGAAGGTGCCTGAAAAATATTTGAGAATATGCTGATCTGCACTGCTCTGTTTCTGCTTTGCCATGTCTTGGTGACTCCAGGTATGGTGTTGTACAACCTGTGTATGCTTCATATTCATCCGTCAATAATCCCTGCATATCACCAGCAATATTCTTGTACCAGTGATTATTTGGAAAGTATGTGACATCTATTTAGCATGTTTAAGAAACCATTTAAAACTGCATGCTTACATCGCTAGCCGAAAACTGGCTGGTGTTTATGGGATTTTTAATCCGACATGTTTAGTAAGAACCAGGTACTGTTCTACAATAAAAAGCTGCTGCTGTTAGTTAAACCATTTATCAACAGTCTACAAATAGATCTCATTCATCTTGGAAAGCACTGTTGCCAAAAGTAGTTTCTCCAAGTATAGGGAATGTTGATAAATGAAAGAGGTAGGTAAGACTTGTATAGAATTTCAAAATTATTATGGCTATGTCCACCACTTGCACTGAACCACAACACAATCAGTCCTTGACAATAGCACTTTTCCATTTGTCATCAAGATGTTGCCTTCTTTCCATTCCCAGTCTATGAGTGAGACAGGCTTAGCTGTACTGATGTTAAATTAGTATTTTTTCCCTTATTCTGAATTCTATCCAGTGATAGCCTCAGGGTGTATAAAATCTGTTAGATTTTGACACTTTGACATTGGAGATAAAGTCAAGTAACCAATCATGGAAGCATCTGTTGGTGTTTCAGACCGATGCTGATTAATTTCTATCACCCATAGAACACAATGTTGTGACATCTGAAATAAGATAACAGGCTGAAGTTGTGTAACACTGAAAGGCTGAGGCCAACCTGGGGGCCTTCAGGATAAGACAGATGAATCCACAGATTGGTGATAGGTGACCCTATAGAAAAATCCTAAATAAAAGTGTCCCCTCCCTTGCAAAACAGGTATTAGCAACTTAGTTCAGTATTCCCCTTTTTGCCACACATAATTTAAGTAGCATTATGACAGAATGAGGTCTAGAAAAGGGAGAAATAAGAGTCTAGAAATGCCAGATAGATTCTTAAAGTCAAATTTTCCCTATTCCTGCTCCAGTATCATGATTGGCTAATGGTGTTCCCCTTGGCAGATAACATGCTAGAGAGGGAGAGCAGTAAATCTAGAGGAGTCAAACAGTTGCTTAGCCTAACATGCTCTAATCAGGACAATTTAATAGCATCGCAGAAGAGATTCTGAATAGATATAGTATCAGCAGGATTGACAATATGGGCAGGAAATTTCATGCTGGAATTGCTATTGTTTTCTATCAATTAAAAGAGGGGTGGACAATGCTGTTTTAATTCAGCATTTTGACCATTGCACCTAGATACATAATACTGCTTGATCACAAATATCTGTTGCTAGCTACAACACTGGGAGACCTTTAAACAGGGATTATTGAATCCATTTATGAACTGGGATTGGCTTAGCCTGATGCAGCAGGTCTATTCTTAGGTTTGAGACTAAAATAGGGAAAGCTCACATCCATCAAGTTTCTCAAATAAGAATTATTAAAGTAAAAAATGTTTCATAGATCTAACATCCCCAATATTGTATCTATAAGCATCAGTGTACATGCTGATACTTCCTTGCAACCTCCAGACTCTGTACTTGAAATATTTTTTTAAAAACCCTCTTTTTTAATTTTAATCAAATATAAGAATATAGATATGCTACAAATCCAAGCACCAATGTTCCATGTCGTATTTCTAAGAAGAAATATAGTGTTTCCACATAAGAGCTACAGGCATTCTTGGAAATTAAAAGTGGCAAGTCAGAGCTTTGTTTGTAAATATGCAACTTACCCAGGAGATAAAAATAAACTGGGGCTCAATCCAAGTTGCATAGGAATCTAGAAAATATGATAGGGAACAATGTTATAACAATGTTATCCAAAACATTTGATAAATTAAAGTTTTGTGATTGTCCACACTGTGTATGGCAGCTCTTTGAGAATGAGAAGCCCTCCATGCCCATGTCATGTACTCAAATCTCAAATGTGCCTATTGTTCCAGAACAACCAGCATTCCTGTCCCTAGATTTTTGGTGGGATATCACTAAGATTTAAACTCATTGTTCACTCACTATGTCTAACCTTTTCTTGCTTATTTGTTTTTGAGCTTGTCACTGAGCTGCCATGTCTTGGCTGGAAAAATATGGATAACCACAAGATGGCAAAGCAATACAGAAAAAAGTCACCCAGATTCTTACACCTCAGATACAGTAGCCCTAAACATTTCAAGTTGTTAGTGTTCTCATTCCCCATCACTTTGTTCTCATTGACTCAAGTTAACTTTTGAGACTTGTGTACATTGGTTTTCCTTGACAGCCAGCTTCCTTCCTAGCCCTTCCTCCCTAAGATCAAAGCTTGTTCATGCAAGCAAATAGACATCATGCCACATATTTCTCTGGAGAGATTATTTAAGATGATCAGATATAGTATCCATAATGGCAAGGGTAACACATTGTGTCAAACCATAGACTCAATTTGCACACACTAAACTTAACCATTAAACTTAACTGCTAAAACTGAAGTTATAAGCTGTGCAATTGTAGGTCCACATACAATACCTGAATACCATTGTTATGAGCTCTGAGCTTTCAATGACCAGGCTGTTGAAATTCAAAAGCATAATTGCTGAATGTAAGCAACAGGGTTTCCTGCCATTCTGTGCTTGGAAATGCATAACAATTAGTGTAAGTCTTGAACTAGCCTGAACATAGTTTACAAACAAAATTCCTAAACTTCTTTATAAAAGAAAAAAATCTCAGCCTGGCTTGATGGGGACTATACATTTTGTTTTGCTATTACATCCACGTTGGCCTGCAGTGTTGGCTTGCAGCCATCAAAATATTGTCGACTCCAGCCATAAACCAAGGGTACAAGTCTCTGCAACTTCACTCACATCTTGTGCTAAGCTAAAGTAGACCAACAATGGCTTATGATATGTTCATGACATACTAAGCTAATATAAAAGATTAAAGTAGTGCAACCCATTCTTATTTCCCTGCCATCTGCACCTGGCTAACCCAACTAAAAGCCTTATGTGAGTTTGCCTATTGGCTTCTCCATCCCCAGTCTTCTCATTATCTTCTTTTCCCACCCCTGCCTTTCACCAGATTTTGAAGATGACAACTATGTTCAGGATATAATATCTCCTTAACTTTCCCCCCTTTATCCCCTGAATTCATTTTGCGATCACCACTCACATGAGTCACAGTAAAACACTGGGTCTGCAGCAGTTTTCAAGAAGATACAGAAGTTTAGAACATAGTAGCCAGTATCAGTTCCCAATAAGTTTTTGGGTCCAATTCAAATGCTACCTACAAAAGCCCTGTACCGAATAGTATCAGACTGCATCCTTCCCAAGATTCAATCTGCCCATCCTGTAAGAATATCTCAGGAAAGCCTACTGAGCATTTCAGGTGGCATAGATTGGGGGGGGGGAGGACATGGACCAGGCAACAGATCTTTTCTATTGTGGCTCCTATGCCCTGAAATTCCATATTCAATGAAACAGATACCTCCCTTCCCTTTTAGTGTTTTGAAAACTGGTCAAAACCCCTTTATTCTACTGGGCTTTTAATCTTAGTTTATTGCTTTGTGGCATTCATCTTGGGAGCAGAGTTGACGTCTTCGTTCCACTTGACTTCATATTTTTACTTGTTGTACCCTACCCAAATCTTCAAAACTGGATCCAAGGTACAGAAATGGTAAAATAAATAAGCAAACAAACAATTATAAGAGCAAACATGCACATGAATAAAAAATATGTGTATAGTGTTTGTGACTTGACTCATTTTATGTGCAACATGCAAGTAAGAGTATGTTCTACACAGGAGTAAATTTTTAATTCGTGGTATTAAAGTTATTATTTTATGACTTACAAAAAAATGAAAACAGTAGAAAGAGGCTATATATTTTAGAAAATGGTTGGAGCTGCTTACATTTTCCTTTTTTAAAAAAACTAAACATGTATTTTTCAACCAAGGAAGAAGCTATCAATATCTATACGTTGTGTTATACAGGTGGAATAGCATCTAGAACATGGGTATCAAACTTGATCATGTCACGTGATGTATCGTGACATTTTTTGCCTTTGCAGAGCCGGGGTGGGCGTGGCCTGCACGTGACGCATTCGGCCTATTGTAAGAAAAGTCTTCATCAGGTCCAGTCCAAGCTGGGAATAAACAAAATGGAGACTGCTTTAGAAAGAAGGCTGTAGTTTATTGAAGGGCAAAACTGATCACATGTTGCTGGAAGTGCTGGGTTTTTATACCTTCTGGGGCTCTTGAGGTTGTTTCCTGTTCCTGTTTGAGACTTTGTATTTCCTGTGTCATGTACTTTGACCTGAGTCCAAATGTGCCCTTTTGGTATTGGTGGG